CCTGCACGCAATGATTTTGTGAGGGTGGTACTAATCCTTGTCTTGGTGATGTTACTGATAACAGCGGCGGTTTTAGCAATGGTTAACTCATCGTAAGTAGAAATCTTATATATAAAATTCACGTGTCACAATTTTCGTTCCCATACTTCTCCGAAACGGCTTGACCGATTCTCATGAAATTTTGTGAGCATATTGAGTAGGTCTGAGAATCGGCTACTATCTATTTTTTTTTATCCCGCACGGACAGAGTCGCGAGCGACACCTAGTTATTCTTATAAAATCAATGTAAATAAAAATTTACGGGATGATAATGATGTAAAAAGTATTATGAAATATTATAATAATAACAAACAAGAAAACAAAGAGTAACGTCATTTTTCAGAAAATAATATAAAAGACGAAGTACAAAAGAAACTACAGATGTAACATAGAAATAGGCGAACGATTAGTAGATTCCGATACAGCCCGGTTTAATATATCATCAGCTCACTATACGTCTCCAATGAGGGCCTCGGAGCCTAAGTTAGGGGTGACTAAGCCATAGTCAACCGCGCTGGCTCAGTGCTGGTTGACTTCATAGATATCTTTGAATTTCTTCACAGAAATGTACAGTGTTACGATGTTTTCCTACACCGTAAGAACGTTGAAAAAGTACATATGTAAACCGAAAAACATATTAGTACATGATGGGATTTGAACCCAGGATTTATAGATTCAGTCAACGGCTTAACTCCTGTGCCACCGACGTTCTGTTAAGTCATTGATATTCATTTTAAGTTTTTTTTTAGAGACGAGTGGCGTGATATGTTTGTTTCTACTGGTACGATGTTACCAATGTTAGCATTGTAAGTACTTAGATTTTAATTATATTTCTTTGCTGTGTGTAATTGTACATCTAATGAATAAAATATTAACCTTGTAACCTTGGAGTTTCTTACAACAAATCATATCTTAGATTTAGTATCCAGACAAATAACAGTGGTAGAGCCCGCTTTAACACCTTCGCACGAATTGGCCCGGCTCGCCCGGTGAAATACCACGACCACACAGAAGACAGGCGTCAAGTGGAAGCAATTCCGCGTTTCGCCTGATGAGTGTGCGTCCCGGAGGCCTAATTTAGTCCTCTTTCCCTTCCCATCCTTTTCTTTATAAGGAAAGGATGGGAAGTGGAAGTGGACTTTACGGATGAGAGGATGCATGGATAGGGAAGATATTTTCTTTCTGTGCATCCTCTCCTCCGTCGATTAAAGGTAGGCAGCGCATATGCAATTGCGTATGACTATGGGCAGCAGTCACTTCGCTATTTCAGCGATTTCAGGTGGCTGCTCGCTCGTTTGCCACCTTTTGATATAAAAAAAAATAGAATTTATGCAATGATTATCAAAGGTGAGCAGTTTTGTTAGTGAAGATAAGAATTTAATATCAGGTAGATTTAAGATTTTCTACATTCGTTTATTCAAAGTCAAAAGTTATTCGATGATGTACATTATTATATTCCTACGGTTTGTCCAATGAATAAGAATGTGACGCGTCAAAAACCAAATGGTTAAGGGTACGGATTTCCAATCACAATGTTGGAGGTTCGAATCCCGCCATTCGACTATTGTCGTAAATTGAACTTAGTTGGTACAAGTACAAGAAACATTAGTAAATTTACTGGAATACTTTTTTATTTTAAAATATTGTTAACACAAGCTTTCATATTGTTTTGCATATTTTATATTAAATTTTCAGGTTATTACTGATGGGTGTTAACTACGCATTTATATGTAGCGCCTGCGCACGATACCC